CAGGAGGCCGTTAGAAGTGTGCGCGTCACTAACACGGATTGCTCCTGAAACATCATGCTCTTCTGATCAGAGCCTGAACGCACGTTAGCGTATGGCTAGGAGCTTTTATTACTTACAACAAGAAGTGGACAGCATACAACAGGTGAGCAGTCCCCACGGCTCAAAAGCTGTTTGGGTGGAAATGAAGAGTTATATGACTGCAGATTTCCCCTGGGATTCTGGAAGCCGTCCTGGTGGATATAAAAAATTCTTCCATGTAAGCCCTCTACCTGGCCACAGTGACAGCCTACCTGCTGCCAGTCTCCCCGTGGCCAGGTAAGTCTACTTAAGTGGGCTGTAAGCTTAATGCTACTTGCGCTGCCCACGAGCACCACAGCGCAGGAGATCCCTCCCCAGGGCCTCAGCTGCCATTTTTATACCCCAAAGCTCATGTGGCACGCTGCAAGGGCAGACCTTATCCTGGGAGGCTTAGTGAGCATGGCCCCCAGGTGATCCCTCTTAGTGGGGTCGGCCTTCACTTATTGGCCTCAGTTGTGGTCCTACTCGCAGAACAAGGACCAAAGACCAAATCACTCACTGCAAAGGGGCACCATACCCTGCAACCATCTCGAAGAAAACCACAGTGCAGTGTCACAGTTAAACAGGAAAGGAGTGTTTTCCACTTAAGATTGGGAATAAGGCTAGGATGCCTGCTCTTACCACGCCGATTCCATATTGTACTGGAAGACTCAGCCAGTGCAATAAGGCAACCAAATGTCATAAGACTTTTTTGGTAATCATTTTCTACCAAGAAAATCCTGATGAAATTTGGTTGCCTTACTGCAATTTTTTAGGAGCCCTGGTGGCAGAGTGGTTAAGCACTAGGCTGCTAACTGAAAGATTGGCAGTCCGAACCCACCCAATGGCTCTGCAGGACAAAGATGTGGCAGTCTGCTTCCTTAAAGATTACAGCCTTGGAAACCCCATGGGGCAGTTTTACTTTGTCCTACAGGGTCGCTATGAGTTGGAATCGACTCGATGGCAATGGTTTTTTTTTTTTTGTTTTTTTTTTTTGGTATTGCAATTTTAGAATCAGTTAATCATTTTCTACCAAAAAAGCCTCATATACTATGAGGATGGCGCAGGACCGGGTTGTGTTTCATTCTGTTGTATGTAGAATTGCTGTGAGTCAGAACCAACTCCACAGCACCTAACAACAAAAAAAGCCACAATAACTTAAAAAAAAAAAGAAAGTTGGAGTACTAATACTACCTGATTTTAAGACTTATTGTAAAGCCACAGTAATTAAGACTGTATGGTATTGGCATAAAAACAGACAAATAGACCAGTGGAACAGATAGAATAAAGAGTTTAGAAGTAGACTCACACACATATACCAAAAATAAAACCTGTTGCCATAGAGTCGATTCTGACTCATGGTGACCCTATAGGACAGGGTAGAACTGCCTCATAGGGTTTCCAAGGAGCGGCTGGTGGATTCCAACACATGTATATGGGGAGCTGAATTTTATCAAAGGTGCAAAAGGAATTTAATTGAGAAAGGATAGTGCCTCCAAAAAATGGTGCTGGAATAATTGAGTATCCATATGCAAACAAATGAACTGGGATCTATAATGTGTACTATATCACCTCAAAATAGATCATAGACCTAAATGCAAACCTAAAGCTATAAAATCTCTTGAATAAAACACAGGAGAAAAACGTTATGACCTTGGGTTAGGCAAGCTTTCTTGTTTAAAAACTATGATTTATAAAAAAAGCAGATTAATAAATTTAACTTTGTTAAAGTTAAAATATTTTCCTCTTTGGAAAACATTGTTAAAGAATGAAAAGAAAAGATACCAAAGGAGAAAAAATATTTTCAAATTGTATAACTGATAAAGGGCTTTTATCTGGAATATAGAACCCTCAAAATTCAATAATAAGAAAACAAAACAAAAAGCAATAAAAAATGGGCAAATGATTTGAAAATACACTTCACCAAAGAAGATAAATGGTTAACAAATAAGCACTTGAAAAGATGCTCAAAATCATTAGTAAGAGAATGTAAATTAAAACCACTATGAGATACCATTACACATCTATTTAAACTAAAAAGACTGATCTTACCAAATGTTGGTGAGGATGTCTATGACCTGGAACTCTCATACTCATATTTGGTGGAAATTTAAAATGGTACAATGATTTTGGAAAATATTTTATCAATGTCTTAAATATTAAACATTCTTCTAATATACGATCTAGCTATTCTTCTATTATGTATTTATCTAAGAGAAATGAAAACATACATCCATACAAAGATGTGTACACAAATTTCCTAAGTTTTATTTTGAAAGGTCAAAAACTATAAACAACTCAAAAGTCCATCAACATGTGAATGTATTAACAAACTGTGATATATTGATACAATGGAATGTTACCCAGCAGTAAAAAGAAATGAAGTAATGATACACACTATAGCATGGACAAATCTATAAGTAATAATGCTGAGTGAATAAAAGCAGACAAAAGAAGAATATATACTGCATGATTGCATTTATGTAAAATTGTAAAATGAAAAAAAACAGTATTCTGTAGCATTAGAAAGCTGATCGGTGATTGCCTCAGCATGGGAGGAGGTGGAAGGGACGCATAAAGAACCTTTTGGGGGTGATGGGTATGTTCATTATTCTGTGGTGATGATTTCATGGAAGTATACATATATCAAAACTTAACAAATCATATACTTTAAAATAGGTAGACTTTATTTTATGTCAATTTTACCTCACTAAAGCTGTTTTTAAAAATTCAAATTTTCAGCTTCTCCTGAGGAACGGGAAGCACTAGCCGCACTGCATCTCCATGACTGTAGGGCGATGGGGTTGTC